GTATAGACAGATGGAAGCATAGACCAGCGGACGGACGGACAAATAGACGAAAACTGGGACGGACGAACGGATGGACGCAAGCATGGATGCACGAAAAGTCGGAGGGATGGACGCATGGATGGACGGATGAGCGCACAGATAAACAAATGAACGCAAGGATGGACAGACGGACGCATAATTTTTTTCATGAATATGCTTTTATTTTTATGACTTATCATACTACAAGTAACGTCTTCTAGTGTCGCATCATTTGCATTTTTCTTGATGTATGTATTTCATTATACGTAAGGGATAATGGAACGATCAATGAAACGCGCCGCCAATCGGCTGCGGGTTTCATTGATCGTTCCATTATCAAAATAGCCAAGCCTCTTAGGGCCGCAAGCCAAGGGCCGCGGTCTGCACACAGCGCCAACAAAGACTAGCGACCCTCTTGTGCCACCATCTTCGTAGCAGTGCCACGCCAGCGGGAACCTCTGCACGAGAACCGTGAGGGCGAGGTGGACTCCCCGCTGTTCTCTCCCTCTTAGCCGTGTGAGCATCCGACTCCACTCACACGTTGCCCGTGGCAGACCTTTTGGAGGTAAGGAGGGCATGATCCGAGGTCGTGGCTCCAACTAAGCTGGATTACGTGGGCACGCACCACCCATACCTTTCAAGCACCTGGATCATAGAATGGACCAAAAACTTCTGAGCCTGGCGTGCAAGGACCTACTCCTCAGCCGTCGCAGTGCAACCCTCTACGGCCGATTCGAGAGAGGTGGCTACAACGATTACAATGAGAGGTGGCTACATACGATTACGACGGGATGCTCAGCCCACACCTTAAGGAGGTTCGCCCCTTAAACAGACGAGTTGCCAGAGCCAAAGCATACGGCAAATATTCAGAATATAGAGCCTTTTTGCGGATACCGCCATACTCCTGCGCAACCGCGCCACAGCAGCCGTGGTAAACAGGGAACAGCTTGTAGATTGCATCTCCGCTACCGGGATAGACATCACATCCATAGAATCGGCTGGTATAGCCTTAGCCATGCGTAACCCAAAAGACACCTTTGTCCTTACGGATTCCCAGGCAGCGTATCGCAATTTCGCCAGAGGTCAAATCAGCTGCCTTGCACATTCTATTCTGCAACGGGCTGTGGCCCGTCGTCAAGAGGGTCAGTGGATGCAACTGCTATGGGTCCAGGTCACACAGAATTAAGAGGCAATGAACGCGTTCATGCCTCCGCCCGCGATGTCTTATATCGGGCCTCCATTGCTTTATCCAAATGCACCTTCTTGCTGACCAGCACGATCCCCAGCCCCTCATTTTGTATACTGACATTGTGCAGCACATCACGCTGAGTAGACTCTAACCACTATAGCGACCTATTCATTACCAATAAATGTTTTCTTTTCTCTCTCTTCACGTCCCGTAATATCAAACCTAGTATATGTGAAGCTAGCGAAACGGCCGCGAGCGCACCATGAACGCGGCATGTAGTCATGTTGTTACAAGACACGTATTGTATGATTATCATGTTTACCCCAATCACATACCTTCATCATCCATTCAAGTCCCGTAATACTAAATTTGGTGTATGCGACGCTAGTGAAACGGCCGCGAGTGCACCATGAGCGTGGCGTGTAGTCATGACTTTGATGACATGCAATCATAATTTTCACGTCAGGTTTCGCTTGTGTTCGTCATGCAGTCACGTCATACCACACCAGTTTTACAACGTGTCATGTGAACGAAACCACCGCGAGAGCAGCAAGACCATGAAATTCAAATTATAACATTCATGACGTACATGATTTTCATGTTATGACTAGTCACTTATGCTTGTCATAGAGTCATGTTATGCCACACCATCTTTGGTATCGATACCATTACCAGAACGACCAGGAGAGCTAAAAGTCGTAGTCGGCTAGATAGATAGATAGATAGATAGATAAATAGAAAGATAGATAGATAGATAGATAGTTATGATCAAAGTCATTGAAGTTCGGTAAGAAATACTTCGCATTCAAAAAGCGACGCTGTGAAAAATAAAAAATGGCAGATCACACGTACAGTGGGAATCGATGATATGCGAAGCAAGAATGAGAAATGTTGATGTGTCACTTTAAAATCAGCGCACATTACGAGGTGGAGGTAAATGATGCCGCACATGACTTCCGTGTCAGGGGTACCATGTTTGGATGTGCCATTTACCTTCGTCATTCATTCAAGTCACGTGATAGATAATTTGGTATATGTGGATCTAGCGAAAAGGCCGCGAGCACGCTATGAGTGTGGTATGTTGCCAAGTTCTTACATGACACGCGTGTCAAGATTATCATGTTTGCACCAGTCATATATTTTGTCATCCATTGACGTCACGTAACACCAACTTTGGCATATGTGGAGCAAGCAAAAGGCCGCGAGCGCATCATGAAGAACCTAATATACTCCAATATAGCGTTAACGCGCGCGCAGTCAGGAAAAGCAACGCTACGTTAGCAAAACGTGAGTACTCTAATAGAGAGTAGAGAGTTTTAGTACTGCGGACTGGTGCTACGTACGCATCACGCAAGCGCCTTGCGTTACGTGGCGTCGTTTGCCACTAATCGGCTTTTAGTACGCGGTAGTACCCGCGTGCGTAACGAGCGTGAAGCGTGTTGTGCCATCTGGTAGATCAAAATAGAAGCACGTGTTGTTGGCAGCCAATTTGAGCCAATCCAAGTGTTATAGCCAGATCATGGCCATATTTTAAGCCACAGAGCCGGTTGGTGCTTGCCCTCGATGCCGCCATTTTGCAAAACGAAGTGTCGCGCTGTCACGAACTTGTTCGAGAGCAGCGCGATCACCTCATACGTACGCACGTACGCATCTCATGCGGGCGTACGTAGCGGCTGCGTACAAAATGCGATACGTGCGCGTCGCGGTCTGCGGATGTGCACTACGTAGAACGTGGCGTCCCACGTACGCAACGCTGCCACGTACGCAGCGTACGCAGTACTAAAACTCTCTATTGTCTGATGCCAGGCGCGACCAGCGTCCGTCGGCACAGCCTCAAGACGACCGGCGCGAAAGGCGACATGCTGCATTTCGCGCCAATGCGTTACCCAGACAACACTGCGTCTCACTTTTTTCGTGAGGGAGGGACGCCGGACGCGCTGAAACGCGCATGCGTCAAAGCAGCGCAGCCCGGTGCGCGCCTGCGAGTATATGGCAGGATCGGCACCTGGCCTGGCAACGCTGGCGTGACGCGTCGAAATAAACGACGGCGAGCACGCGCTCCGCGTCTCGTCGAAATGTATTGGCGCCTTGACTGTGACATGCAGTGATGTTCTCACATGACACGCATCTCATGATTGTCATGTTTGCACTAGTCACATACCTTCATCATCCATTGGCGTCACGTAATACCAAATTTGGCATATGTGAAGCTAGCGAAACGGCTACGAGCGCATCATTAGTGTGGCATGTAGTCATGTTGTTACATGACACGGATGTCGTGATTATCATGCTTGTAGGTATTATTTACCTATGTGGCCCGTTCGCGTCACGTAATACCGAGCTTCGTACATGTGAAGCTAGCGAAACGGCCGCGAGCGCATCATGAACGTAGCATGTACTCATGTTGTTACATGACACGTATCTCATGTTTATCATATTGGGACCAGTATCATACCTTCGCAATCCACTCACGTCCCGTAATACCGAATTTGGTATAAGTGAAACTAGTGAAACGGCCGCCAGCGCGCCATGAGCGTAGCATGTAGTCATGTTGTTACAAGACACGCATCTCATGATTTTCATAATTGTACCAGTCACCTACCTTCGTCATCCATTCACGTACTGTAATACAAAGTTTAGTATATGTGACGCTAGCGAAACGGCGATGAGCGCATCATGAGCGCGACATGTTGCATGTTGTTACATGACACGCATGTCATGATTTTCATGTTAGGATATGTCGCTTGTGTTCGCCATGCAATCAAGCCATACCATAGCAGTTTTGCAACATGTCATTTGAACGAAACCACTGCAAGAGCAGCAAGAATATGAAATGTAGATTATGACATTCATGACACGATTTTCATGTTATGACTAGCTAGTTATGTTCTTCATACAGTCTTGTTGTGCCATACCAGGTTTGGTATCGATGCCATTATCGAAACGGCCAGGAGAGCTAAAAGTCGTAGGCGACCAGATAGATAGATAGATAGATAGATAGATAGATAGATAGATAGATAGATAGACAGATAGATAGATAGATAGATAGATAGATAGATAGACAGATAGATAGATAGATAGATAGATAGATAGAAAGATAGACAGACAGACTCCAAGTCGCCGACGTTGTGTGTCCGATGCTTCGTAGGAAAAATTTGGGGGTGCTACCTCCGACCAGTGGCACTGCTTTCTAAAAAAAATTTCATTTTTTTTCACCTAATGCTACTTGGCGCCTTATCCTTCACTATGCCTCCAGACAGAAGACTACAGTCTTTCAACGGCTTTTGCAGCAAATCATGGAGATACGCAGCCATTTTTATTGTCAAAAGCTGAGCAACAAGATGTGAAAGGTATCCCCTTTTATGTTGGATGCTATAGTTGAGCAAGAAATGGGAATAACGAAGCCGTGCCGTGGTTTCAGCCTTATTGGGGCGTTGGCGTATGCAGAAGTGACTGCAGCTCGCGCATCCAAATCGGCCCAAGACCGCGCTATGCTCTGGTTGTATCTCTGTCCACTGACCGCACGTCATGGCGCTACACTAAATTATGATATCATTCACACATGTTTTCGTAACCCCTTTAAGAAGGCTGTGTTCGTATTAAAAAAAACTTCAGAATAAAGGGTAGCTTCTTTTTTAATTAATTTGGACAAGTTTTAAAGAATGCAGAGAGTATGTTTGTGGTAGAAAAAATTGTTGCCTAGATATTGCTGTGGACAGTGACGAAGAATGGAAGCCCATGGAAAGCGTATACAAACACCTTTTGCAATTACCAACCCCTTTTTTTGCCACAGGTGATCTCTGCTTTGTGGATGGTCTTAGAACACCTTACGGTGCGGTATGTCATACTTTCCTCCTTACTGAAAAAATTCCGAAGTTTCCTACCAGGTTCCATTTCTAATAATCAAAGTTATATGCTAATCAAATGTGTGGTGAAAGTGTATCCCAATGATCTTTTGCAACAAATGTTTTTCACGGTAGTTTTTCACGGTAGTTTATTCATTTTCAGGATTATTGACAACGATTTATGACAAACTATATCAATATACGGCTCACAGAAGTTCATAACTATCAATAAAAATGAATTAGTGCATGCACTCATTGTGAGCGATTTTAAACTTTGCCGAGGCCATGTGAGCAACTTTCGTGCTTCACAAGGTAGCGAAGAAAGGTTTACGGACCTAGGGCCAAAATTTCCTTGAAATTTCCCCATGCTGTATTTTATGTCATATCTGAGTAGAATTAGCAGATATAACAAAAGCTTTAGATAAAGTATAGCGTAGATAGAAAAAAAAAATAGTAACATATTGTCACGGGCTAAGTAGATGCCTGAGGATGACGACGACGAAGTGCTGAACGGGAACGTTCTCGGACTGCAGCAGCGTCGTACGCATTAGCTCGCCAGTATATTCGCCAGTACACATTTGTTCATCAGTGTATACTTTATTCCCCGTAACATCATTGGTGGAAGGTGCGGGGTACCACTCGCTATACAGCCCAACGAGCTGGATCTTCGCAGCGGACGGCGCATTGCAGCTACCACGATGACTGACCAGGCTACTCAATGTCAACAAGATCCGTCAGCCCCGCAGCCGATCGTTGTGGTGCAACCTCGTGACCCAGGTCCATTCAACGGCACAAGTGGCATAGACGTCGATGACTGGCTTGTTCAATATGAGCGCGTCAGCAGCAGCAACCATTGGGGTCCAACGCTTATGCTGGCGAACATCATCTTCTACTTGCATGGCACGGCAAAACTCTGGTACGAGACACATCAAGAAGAGTTGACTAGCTGGGACGTCTGTAAGCAGAAATTGCGCTATCTATTTGGGAAACCCATCGGACATCAAGTGGCCGCAAAGAAAGAGCTTGCGACTCGTGCCCAGACATCCACGGAGCCGTACATCGCGTACATTCAGGACGTGTTGGTTTTGTGCCGCAAGGTCGACAAGGACATGCTCGACGAGGACAAAGTCGGACACATCCTGAAAGGAATTGCGGATGACGCCTTCAATTTTCTCCTGTGCAAGGACTGCTCGACGGTGGAGTCGGTCATCGAAGCATGTCGTCGCTTCGAACAGGCAAAAAGTAGGCGCATAGTTCACCGATTTGACCGCCTTCCCAACACGGCAGCTACGTCCTCTTGCGAAGATTTGCCCACACTACACCAACCACCAGCGCCAGAAAACGTCACCAGAATAGTCCGTCGGGAACTCGAGGCCATGGCTCCCGCTATGTCTACCGTCAGCGCGTTAGGACACAACCTCGGTGCTGTTTCAATGATACAGGCCGTGGTTCGCCAAGAGATCGCGAATATGGGCATTTCGCCACCTCATCAAAATGCCTCTGCTACTTCCAGCTCGGCTCCAGTCGTTGCGGCTGCCACTCCGAACCGCACGTTCGCGCCACGACGAAACCCAGCTGAATGGCGCACTCATGATGATCGGCCCATATGTTTTACGTGCCATCGGATAGGACACATCGCTCGCCATTGCCGCAGCCGGTGGACCTCATCACCTCGACCGAGCTTCTATGATTGGCGGCCTCGCTCTGAACGTGCACCTTATGCCCCGTCCTACCGTGCTGAGACAGGTGCAGAGTATAATCCAGAACGTCGGACCAGCCGCTCGCCATCGCCCGTGCGTCGTCAGTCCCGCTCGCCCCAACCCCGCCGTTCTCGGTCTCCTTACGACCGTCGCTCGGAAAACTAACCGGTGCAGCCCCCGGAGGTGACGCTGCATACACGACTTGGACTGCAAATCCTCTGATTACTCCCGACCAGCGGTGCAACCTCCTAACAATTCTCGTTGATGATTTACCTATAACGGCTCTTATTGATACCGGTGCACAAATATCTGTGATGAGCTCAGACCTCCGCCGCCGCCTCAAAAAAGTTCTGACGCCTGCGATTGCACCTACCGTTCGTACCGCGGATGGGAGTACTCCTGCTGTGCTTGGAATGTGCACTGCGCGATTAACAATTTCTAAGCATCAAACTTCAGTTTTGTTCGCTGTACTGGAAAATTGCCCTCATGACCTAATCCTTGGACTCGACTTTCTGACTTCACACGCTGCGCTCATTGACTGTTCCAAAGGTCTTCTTCAGCTCGAACTACCATCCTTTTCGGAGACCGTCTCTACCAGCCCACCTCGTCTACGCTCTGTCGATTTCCTTAGACTTCCGCCGCAAGCCGCAGTCCAAGTCCAACTCTCGCCATATCCTGCAGTACCCGATGGTGATTATGTTGCTGCCCCGATTTCTGACGTCGCCATGACACGCAATGTTGCACTCCCCAACACGGTGGTTACCGTTAAGGACAACCGAACTTCGTTTCCCGTCCTCAATTTCGGCCTCTCAGCGCAAGTTATTCCTCGCGGCATGTCACTTGCGCATCTTACACCACTGGTCGACCACACAGTTTCCGCTCTAACCACCAATTCGCCACCCGATTTTTCATCAACGTCGTTCTCGTCACGTTCCTGTTCCGACCTTTTCAAGCCAATGCTATCTGACAAGCTCACCTCTGAACAAGTCTCTGCTTTCTGCCGTGTGCTTGCTCCTTATCAGGACATCTTTGACTTCGGCTACCGTAATTTGGGCCAGACATCTGTAGTAACCCATCGCATCGACACCGGTGACGCTCGACCCATTCGCCGACGACCCTACCGTGTGTCAGCCCCAGAGCGTGCTATTATACAGCGAGAAGTCGATAAAATGCTTGATAAGGGCATAATCGAACCCTCATCTAGTCCCTGGTCCTCACGACGAAGTGCTGAACGGGAACGTGCTCGGACTGCAGCAGCGTCGTACGCATTAGCTCGCCAGTATATTCACCAGTACACATTTGTTCATCAGTGTATACTTTATTCCCCGTAACAATATTCATGGGGTGAAAGATGCAGAGTAGGGCGCAGCGTCCATCCGTTCATTTGTTCTTGCTTCCGTCCGTACATTCGTCCATCTGTGTCATCATCCATGCGTCCATCCAGCCGTCCGTGCGTGCGTCCGTTTGTGCGTCCGCACGTCCATCCATGCGTCCGTCCCTGTGTTTGCTCGTGCATCCGCCCCTACGTCCGTCCATGCCTCCATCCGCCCGTGCAGCCATTCATGCGTCCGTCCATGCATCTGTCTGTGAGTCCGTTCGTCCATCTAGTCAATACTCCAAGTACCATCATCTCGCATCTTTTCATCATATGTTCCGCATATAGAAGCCCCGCCATCCAGCGGACATTCCAAGGACTAAACGAGAAGTGGCACACGCACACTTTCTTACGGCTTGTTCTTCTGATCTACTTCCCACCGTTAACCACCTCGAGTTCATGGTATATACTAGTTCACTGTATTCATGGCACTGCGGCCCAACGCTCGCTAAACCTTTCTAAATCTAACGAGGTTACGCCCAGTGAGTATAACGTAGCAACCCTTTCTTGTCAGATAATGCTCAATGCAAATGCCAATGGCTGCTAATGAGGAATGAGAGACAGGAGAATTCGGCTCTTTGTTAACGCGCACGCTGCGAATTTTTTATTGTTCAACAACGCACAGGAGAAATCTCCCACCGGCACCACCTTGCAGGTCAAAGCGTAACACATGTTACGTACTACGACTAGGGACAAACGGATGCCGCTTTAAGGAGCTTCACCCCTAAAAATTCTGCAGATCGCACGTACCTTACCAATCAATGTTATGTGAAGCATTTGGGGGGAAGGTGATTTTGTTTTACCTTTTATTACATGCGAAGCATTTTTTAGCAAACTTCGGCAACATTAAGTTTCAGTTTCAGTTTCAGTTTTATTGAGCATCTTCTTCACAGATTTGCGAAAAATAAAACGCAAGGATAAGAGCAAAAAGCTGCTATGTTAGCAGCTTGACGAGGCTCCTAACCTTTTTCACTTGGCATTACAAAAATCCGCAGAGCACAAAAAGCGTATTAAGCGTATCTATCTATCTATCTATCTATCTATCTATCTATCTATCTATCTATCTATCTATCTATCTATCTATCTATCTATCTATCTATCTATCTATCTATCTATCTATCTATCTATCTATCTATCTATCTATCTATCTATCTATCTATCTATCTATCTATCTATCTATCTATCTATCTATCTATCTATCTATCTATCTATCTATCTATCTACGACTTCTAGCTCTTCTGGCCATTTCGATAATGGTATCGATACCAAACTTTGTATGACATAACATTGTATGAAGAACATAACTGACTAGTCATAACATGAAAATCATGACATGGATGTCATGAATGTCATTTCATGGTCTTGTATCATTTTGGAGGTTTCGTTCACATGGCGTGTTGCAAAACTGGTATGAAATGAGTGCATGGCGAATACAAGCGACAGATCCTAACATAAAGATTATGACATTCATGTCATATATATATCAACATGGCTACATGCCATGCTATTGATGCACTAGCGGCCGTTTCGCTAGCTGCACTTATACCAAATTTGGTATTACGGGACTTGAATGGATGACGAAGGTGTGACACTGGTGCAAATATGATAAACAGATGCGTCTCATGTAACAACAAGACTACAAGCTACACTCATGACGCGCTCGTGGCCGTTTCGCCAGCTTCACATGTACGAAACTTGGTATTACACGACGCCTACGGAAGACATAGGTATATCACACATAGAAACATGATAATCATGACATGCGTGTCATGTAACAACTTGACTATGTTCCACACTCACGATGCGCTCAAGGATGTTTCGCTAGCTTCACACATGCCAAATTTGGTATTACGTGACGTCAGTGAATGACAAAAGTATGTGACGGGTGAAAACATGATAATCATGAGATGTGTATCT